TTATCAGGCGTTTTTTGTAGGCGAGTTATTTCTTAATAAAAAAAAAATGCTGTTCCGTTTACATTTTTTTAATAAAAATATTTTATTTTCAGGTTATAAAAATTGCGTGTCGATAATCATACGCTCCGGAAGAATCCTTTTAAAATGTTATTGTTGAACTGTTATGTTTCTTTTGTTATAATAAATAGTTGAAAAACGCCCGATAATTATGCACCAACACCATATACTACAATAATCTCACTTAACTGGCATTCTTGTACGGACATTTCCTGATAGATTAAACACTTTCAGAGAATAAGAAATATTTTCTTCGTTAGCTTTTGAACTTGTGTCTGAAATGATACGGTCAGTATTTGTTTTCGCAACTGATACTGTATATGTTTTTTGTGTAAAATCCAGAAGTAGAGAAAATAGTACTGAATTGTTACGTAATATCAGCCCATCGATATGAAAGTGAATGCTGGATAATCTTCTCACAGATGAAGAAGAGATGGAAATTTAAATATCTGAGAAGTGTTGTAATAGAGGAATGGAAGAACGACACTGAGATCCGATGACATACTGGGATACCTAAGGAAGCATACTAAAAAAAAAAAAAAAACACAACAGAGAATTTAGGAAAATTTCGCTAGAAACTTTTTTTTTTTTAAGCATTTCACCCCAAGCAAGGCGGGAAGCCACTAGGACGCAAGGGGTTACAGAAAATTTGCAGCAAGATCAGATAGGAGTGATAGAAGAAAGGATGAGGGTAGTGGATAGATCAAGGCAACTCGAGATGTCGATTGACATTACACTTGAATAGCTGGAGATTATAGCTCTCAGGGAAACAGGAATAGGGAATAGGCAAGAGTTGCGAGACATGAAGCTATTAGAGTAGAAGAGACGGCTACATTTAGGAGTTTCGACAGTGAAGGGGTGAGAGCGGGATGCCAGCCTCGTAAGGCGCTGGAACTCATGACGTCTGGGAACTAGCGAATGTAGCTCCTCGGAGCAATTGCCATGAAAGTATTTGTAGAACAGACAAAGGGAGGCTACGGCGCGTCTGTGAGAGAGTGACTGTAGACGAGACGCAAGGGCAGGGCCAACCACATTGCATATCCACCTCTGGAGCCTATCAAGAACCCCGAGGCAAACAGAAGGGGCACCAGACCATATATGGCAGCAATACTCCATGCAAGGGCGAATTGTTGATTTGTAGATCTGGAGGATCGTCTCCTGGGAGAAAAACTTCCTGGCGCTGTTCACGGGGACAACTTTCCTTGCGGTGGACGAGGCAATTGACAAAAGATAAGTAAACTACTATATATCTGTCCACCTGTATGGTAGTCAGAGCTGGACGATCTCCTCAAAGATGAAGGGAAGACATGAAGTAACAGAAAAGGGGTTCCACAGAAGGATGCTGAGAATACCATGATCCTAACATGTGAGCTGCGAGGAAGCTTCAAGAAAAATTGAAATCCAAATGACATTATACTTAATAAAGAGAAAGCTGAAATGTCTAGGGTACGTAATAAGCAAAGAGGGTTCGGAAAATATGATACTCACAGGACAGACTGAAGGCAACAAAATGACAAGGGAAATAACGCATAACCTGACTAGCGATCTTGTGTAAATGAATAGCGGTGTAAGGTTTAGAATAGGTAACAAAAAGACAAAATTCTTTTAGAGGGACAAAGGAGAGGACGATGTAGAGAGCCATGATCGCCAACTACCTGAAAGGACATGGAGCATCGAAACAGAAGAAATGCGTACTTGAGTAAATGGATAGCGTGACAGGTTTAGGAGAGATAACAAAAAGTCAACATTTATTAAGAACTAAAAAGGATAGGACATTGTGGAAGGCCATGGTCAGCAACGACCTGAAGGGAAACGGTCAATAGAAAGAAAAGAAATGCGTGCTTGAATAAATGTATAGCGCGACAAGGTTTAGGAGAGATAACAAAAAGTCAACATTTATTTTTTTTTTTTTTTATTAAGCTACAAAGGACAGGAAATTGTGGAGCGCCATGACCACCAACCACTTGAAGGGAAACGGCCCATAGAAAGAAAAAAATGCGTCCTTGAGTGAATGGATGGCTCTACAACGTTTAGGAGAGATAACAAAAAGTTAACATTTATTAAGACATACAAAGGACAGGAAAATGTGGAGGTCATGATCACCAACGATCTGAAGGGATACGGTCTATAGAAAGAAGAGAAATGCTTGCTTGAGTAAATCCATGGCGCGACAAGGTTTAGGAGACATAACAAAAAGACAATATTTATTAAGAGTTACAAAGGGAAGGAAATTGTGGAGAGCCATGACCACCAACGACATGAAGGGATACGGTCCATAGAAACAGATGAAATGCGTGCTTGAGTAAGTGGATGGCGCGACAAGGTTTAGGAGAGATAACGAAAAGTCAAAATTTATGAAGAACTACAAAGGATAAGACATTGTGGAGGGCTATGAACACCAACGACCTGAAGAGAAACGGTCAATAGAAAGAAAAGAAATGCATGCTTTAATAAATGGATAGCTCTACAAGGTTTAGGAGAGATAACAAAAAGTCGACATTTTTTTTATTTTTTTTATTAAGCTACAAAGGACAGGAAATTGTGGAGGGCTATAATCACCTACTACCTGAAGGGAAACGGCCGATAGAAATAAAAGAAATGCGTGCTTGAATGAATGGATGGCCCGTCAAGGTTTAGGAGAGATAACGAAAAGTCGATATTTATTAAGGACTACAAAGGACAGGAAATTGTGGAGAGCCATTATCACCAACGACCTGAAGGGATACAGTCCATTGAAAGAGAAGAAATGCGTGCTTGAGTAAATGAATGTCAGTTTAAGAGATATAAGAAAAAGTTAAAAAAAATTTAAGAGTTAAAAAACAGCAAATTGTGGAGAGCCATGATTTGAAGTTTAGATGTTTTTTGTTTTGTTTTTTGGAACTGGTATTTTACTTCTGACCTTTACATATTTTCACCACTGTTTGTTCTTCGGAATGTAAATCAGAAATCGTCGATGCGATGACTAAATGGCATACGTGCATTTCTGTCAAATGGCAGACACCTTAAAAATAACAGGTAATGATGTATAATAATAATAATGTATTAAAAACAAAATTTGGGTCCTAAAATGTTAAATATAAAAGGATTTTGCATCTAAATATCGTCGATGACATTTTTCAAAAAAGAAACTGTTCAATTAGGCGTGGCGTTTTCATGAGCTATTTCAACAGTAAAAAGGTGGGACCTAAGCACCAATCTAGTAAACACGCTTAATTTCATTTATTGTGGGCAACAGGGTAGAATGCCCGTCAGAGCAGTTGTAAAAAGATAGATTGAAACCACGTCACGTCTCACGTTGGTGAGAAAGTAACTGAAGTCGAGATGCCTGGTCAGGATCAATTACAATGCAGATCCTTCTTAGGATTTTGTCAAGAAACTCCAGATATACAGTGGGAGCAACACACCAGATATGGCAACAATATTCAATGCACGCACGAATGGTAGGTTTGTAATGGTAGGTCTGGCGAGAAAAAAACTTCTGGCTGGACACAGTGATCCAACTATCCTTGCAGTAGATGCAGCTATAAATAGATTCGATGAAGTCGTTCTGCTTCAAGTCAGTGGAAAACGTGAGGCCAACAAAGCGCCGTGTGTTGCTCACCTAGAGTCTAGCATCAGTCATAATGATGGCAGGTAGAAAAGGTTCTCTGTAAATAAATCTTCTTCATCCAAATGTTATTAATACATAAAACTTAATCAATATAAGGACGGTATATTCTTTAGTGATGTCGATTTAAAAACAAAAATTCGAAAGATTCAACGGCTTGAAATACTTGCTGCTTTTTAGGTCAAGTGTTTCACTGGAATTCAACAAATTTAAAAGACACCCACGTATCTCCGTTCATTTTGATCGTTGTAATCATTAAACCAAATAATTAACTGTCTTTTTTATGTCAAGTGCGTTTGCCAGAATTTCACGGACACATCTTCTACCAACTTAATTAATTTAATTGGTTTAAATTAGCAGTTAATAGAATCTGTTGGTCAAGGTCATGTCAGCTTAGTAGAGAAGATGGTAGTCAGATATCAAATATTTTGATGGATAAAAAAATCTATCACTTGACGTAGTTATTAGCTGACATAATGGAAACAAAAGGACCACTTAGAATAAAAAAAGGTTAAATATTCTCAGACACATAGAGGGTTTGGCTTGGTTTGGTTTACAGCATATCAACCTCAATGGGTCATTTAATGCCGATAACTTTTTTTTTTTTCCTGGTAATATTTTTGTTTGGTCAAAAATCTATTTCTGCTAATATTTTTCCTCAAAAATGTATTCCTGGTAATATCATTTTTTCAAAAACGTATAGCTGGCACCATTATTTTTCCATGTATTATCAGAGGCCTTGCTGTTGGACGTAGTTTATCGTCTTACCCAGGACGCGGATGTAGTTTATCGTCATACCCAAGACGCGGATGTAGTTTATCGTCTTACCCAGGACGCGGATGTAGTTTATCGTCATATCCAGGACGCAGATGTAGTTTATCGTCATACCCAAGACGCAGAAAGGAAAGGGGACTTGGACAATTCGATACTTAGAGGATATATTGAAAGCAAGAAGTAAATAGAGAAACAAAGAAAATCATGCTGAACTTCTATGTAACATCAATTTTCTTATATGGCAATGGATACTGGACAATTTCCAGACAGATAAGTTTCTACAGACAAAATCTAAGACTACCATGGACGGAACATGGGATCAATGAGGAAGTTTTAAGAAAAATTGGAACAGTTTTTTACTAGGAATCAGAATAACCCATAAAAATATATCATAAGGAAAGAGGGCTAGGCGAATATTACTCTTATTGTGCATATTGGATTCAAGAGGGCTAAGGAAAGCACATTGTTGTCTACCTAAGGCCCTTTTGTAAATAAATAGCATGTAAAGAGTCTTGAACATATAACAAAAGAACGAATATAAAGTGCTGTTCGATAAAAGTGA